GTTCAATTTCTCCTTAAATCTGTGTCTTAGTTTTATGCTTTCCTAACTGCTTTCAATATCATTATCAAGATTTAACCTTTCCATTTTCTAGAATACACTTTGAAATGCAAGAACTTTTGTGTTCAAAATGAGATCAGGTCAATCTGACAACATTAAAATGCTCTTATTTCTTATGACATAACAAATTTACTTTTTAAAGAGAGTATTCAAGATGGAAGATGCAAAATTGAGAGTGGTAAAAGAATTTTGCATGGAGAAGGAGAAGCTATGAAGGATCCAAGATGGGGAGCTATAGATAGACAGAAAGCTCTAGAGTATACTTAAGCTCTTTCTATTATTTGTGCAAAGTCTAAAGCTCTAAATTACTGATTTTTGTCTTGTTGGATTTATGCATTTGATCATATTTTTGAGATGTTCCACTACTGTCCATTTATCTATGCACAGTGGTTGCAGCATCTCCTGAAGATAACAGACACTGACTCCCCTTGTGAGACGAAAGCCTTCATCTATGGAATGCCTCATGTATTTCTGCTAACTGCTTGTGTATGCTACCTTTACTATCAAAAATAGAAAGAAAGTCTTTTATGTCATAGAATTATATGCTTATAAAGCCACAAAAAATTTAGAGGGCTTAAGGCCAATGCCATTTTGGAAGTTATTTGCTGTTCATTTTCAAAACTGGCAAGGACAGAGAAATGTGACAAACACAGAATGAAAATGCATGGAAGATAAGTAAATTTTATGCACAAAAGAAGTATTTAAGAGAGTACAGTGAGAAACAGATAAAGGCAAAGTGAGACCAAATATATATGCATGCGTGGAAACACTGATTGAGAAATCTAACTGCAGTGATTTCCATCCTCTCATCACAACTGAGCGTGTACTAAATGAATAAACTGCTACTTGACATTTTCTAAATAAATATCATGGGAAGAGTACTTATTTTACTGTAATGAATCATTTCAGCCTCTCCAACAGAAAGTAGTTGTGATGAACTATAATCTGTTCTGGGAAATATAGTTCTTTAATGGAGATATATATGGACTGAAATATGGGAAGTTGTGTTCTCCAACAAGTCTACTTTAAAAGAGATTCTGATTCATCCATGCCCACTTCTACTTATATTTGATCATAGCTGTTGACATACTGTATCTGCCATGCTGAGAGCTATTTCTCTACTAGAGGTAAGAAAGCCATATGGTTCGTGGATGACTATGAATTTTTGCAAGGCAAACTGAACTAATATGTGTATTTTTTTTCCTGTAGCTATTCAAACAAAACTATCCATTTAGCAAACAGAACATTTTCAATTCAATGGGATATTTTGGCCCATGTAATACATATCTAAGAACTGAAAGTCTTCCTTAAATGCAATTGCAATTGATGAGCTAACAGTGACTTTCTGCATTAGTGGTCCTCTCATTCACCATGCATGGTTAGATATAAACAAATTCACTGTACTGATTAAGTGAAGCAGCAAATAAGACTTGTCTTGTTCATGGAGTAGAACCAAAACATCTGTTTTTGTTTGACTGATGAAGATTCAAAGGACCCCCAGTGGTACACCTCATAAAAAATCAGCAGGTTATTTGAGGGGTTATGTTCTTTTTATTACTAAAACTTCTCATAGGATTATCGTAGTTATACAAGGAAATTGCTTTGACTGTGTGTAATTACAAACAGGGAAAAAAAGTTCTTGCCAAAGGCAGGTGTAAAATAGATTTTACTGTCCTTGTTAAGGCACAAAAAACCATGCCAAGAATTACTCCGAAGTCCACAATTTAGCCAGGCAAAGCTCACAATCAAGCTGAAATTCAGTCATCCAGACTGCATCTACAAATACTTCCCATTAGAACATCTGCTGTCAAAAAACCCTTTCATAACTGTGACATGATAAGTGGACAAGGACAGGCAACGTTCAGGGGAGCTTGCAGAGGGCACCCTCTGGGCAGAATACTGCTTGATGTTCAGACACAGTGGAAACTGGACATGCAAGCTTTCCTCGGGATCAGCTATGAATCCCTCTATTCAGGGATATGTTTCTTATATCATGCAGCAATTATTATTGAAATAAGTTGTTTCATGTATTGGAATTAATTTGGACTATAACTATTGGTTTACCACAATGGACCTTGAAATTTTTGTCTTGCTTTGGTAACTTATAGTTTCAACAGCTTGGCATTGCCAACAGTATCACGATTAATATTTGTGGGATCCTGCCACACACAAATGTGAAATCCCAATCCCATTAAGTCATTGTGGTTATCATCATTGATTCAGCAAGTCTTGGATTTGACTGTGATTTTATGTGTTACATAGAAAAAACACATACAAAACACATTCTCCTCAACACCTCTGTCAAGAGCAGTCTGTGTTTGCTGATTGGTAAATGCTTGCTTAAAGCACTTATGACTTCACTCTAAGTGTAATTTCAATTTGCACCAGGAATTTTAACTCATTTCAGAGGGACTGGAAATTCTAAAAATTATTAGAGGTATGCCCTATACCATTCTAGTGCAAACTAGATATATGACTAATTAAATGCAAATAGCACTTTATAGTACTAAAATGAAAAGCTAAAAATTAATCTAAAATAAAATAATTTCTTTTGACAATCCTAGATTTTAGTTCATGTGTTACTGAACAATGGCATAATATATGCATTCTTTAATTTAGGAATATTATGTCAGATCATACAGGGTCTGCCTCGAGCACTCAGAATTAAATCTCCAATGTATAACATTGTAATTCATAAAACTATTAAACATTGTCTGAGTCCATTTTAACCACATAACACACATGTTGAAAAGCATGCAAAATGATTGGGGAAGAACCTCTGAAATATAAATTATATGATCAGCTCAGCATTGTAAAAATAGCTGCACACAGTAAAATTAAAACTTGCAGTTCTGAAATAAAGGGTTTTATGCAAACCATCTGGAAATTACCTGAAAGTATTGCCCTATTGCTGAAAGCACAGAAACATAAAACTTCAACTCTTCCTATTTTATGTGGTTTCTGGATAAAACATAATGACGGAAATGTAACAAATCAGAGATGTGAATGGCTGATACCTCAAATACACGTGCATTATAAAATATTACCATTCATCCTCTGGTCTACCCCCGAGCTGCTTTTTAAAATGCCCAGTACCATCAGTATGCCCCCTTGACACATCCCACAGTACAAAACATTCATTTACTAAGACTCCACATGAGACTTTTCCATCATCTGCACTTGGATCTGCACTGGGTCACACTGAGGTGACCATTGCTCCTCGCAGGATGCCCGCTTGCAGTCGTCTACTACCTAAATGGCTAGAGGTAATCCAGTGTTTCAAATTTTGTTAGTGCTCCGCTTGTGTTGCTACTGTGAAGCAGAGAGAAATAGTTACAAAACACTCCAGCGCTAAGAAGGGCACTTGCTTTCACAGCCGTGATCCTGGGCTCACACCAGCGAAGGTGACGGGAGCACTTGGTCCCATTCTCAGCGCTTTAATCTGGAAGAGAATCAAGTATCACCTGCTCCCAAGGCACATTAAGGCTGTGTAAGAATGTGCCGTAACGCAGCAAAATTGGAAACAAACAGTAGGTTGTCGCCGTAAATCAGAACCCTTTAAGTCTGAGGGAAGTTGAGGCCGAAGCACTCATAGATGGATTTATGGCTAAACGCCAAGCTGTACGGCACCGGCACCGCTTAGAACTGGGACACCAGCAGCGGCAGGAATTAGGTTACGAAGGCGACAGAAAGCGGGGCGGTAAAAGAAAGTCCCTTTTCTGCAGCTTCCGCCGGCTGGAAGGGTCTCCCCACTCCCGTGCCCCGGACCGATCCGTACCGGCCCCGCAGCAGCAGCGGGTCGGGCCGGGCCGGGCCGGGCCGGCGGGGACCGCCCGCCCCGACGGTGGCGGACGCCGGGCGGTTTGCCGGCCCCGCTCCGGGAGGCGAGGCGGGCTGGGGCGCGCTGCGCTCTCATTATGACACTGGGTAATTATTTTATTTCTCCGGCAGACGGTGTTTCAGAGGACCGCGGAGGCGCTCAGCCAAGCCGCCCGCGCACGCCGCCCTCTGCGTGGCGAGAGGCAGCCGCGATCGCCCCTCGCTGACCGAGGGCAGCGCAGCAGACGCGCCGGGCACCCACCCCCGCGCTCCGGCTGCGCGCCCGCGGGCTCTCCGGCCGCGCCGAGCCCCGCGCGCCCGCGGCGCGGGGAACGCGCGGGACTCACCTGCCGCCCGCCCCTCCTCGGCTGCCGGGCTGCCGCCCCACCGCCCCTGGGGGCCGGGCCGTCCCTCCGGAGGACCGGGACAAGCCTGGCAGAGCAGCGCGGCCCCTCCGACGTACCCGCACCGTCCCCAGGGCGGCACGGCGGCCGGGAAGGGAAAGGGGGGAGCGGAGCAGGCGGCGGTGCGCCGCCAGCCCCGGCTCCCCGGCCCCTCCTCGCGGGGCAGCCCCAGAATCACGCGCTGCCAAAATTTAAATCGCCCCAGCACTGCGGCTCTACGCGCAGCATCCCCCTCCCCGCCGCTCCCTCCGAGCAGAGCGGCCACCCGGGAGGGTGCCAGACCGCGGCCCGCGGGCTCAGGCATCGGGCGCTCAGGCATCGGGCGCTCCGCCGCGCAGCCGTCCTGCCCGGGCTGCACCGAGGCGAGACCCCCGCCACGGCGGCACCGCGCCGGGACGCACCGGTGATGGGGTGACACCACAACCGACGGCGCGGCTGGCGCGCCCTCGCCCCGCCGCTGCTGCCCAGGCACCCGTCCCCGACGGTGCGGTCCCCGCGGCACCGGCACCAGCCCGTTCCCTCCGCTGCTTGCGCGGCGGCGCCCCGCGAGCATCCCGGCGCGCCTGCCGCCCCGACGGCGGCTCCCTCCCTACCTCCCTCCCTCCCTCCCTACCTTTTTCAGCGCTGACATTCTAGTGCATTATTAACGCGGCGGGTGCGGGCTGCGGCGGGTCGGGACTGAGGAGACGCCGCGAGCGGGAGCAGCGGCGCGCGGCCGCCCTGCCGCAGCCCCGCCAATGGCGGCGCCCAGCGCCCGGACCGACAGGCGCGGCGGCCAACGGGAAGCGCAGCGGGCGCGGGGCCGCGGAGCCTTCTCGGCGGGCCCGGGGGGCCATGGCCGGCAGCAGGAGGAGCGGTGAGTCCGTGCCGTGAGGGGTGGTCGGTCCCGCCGTGCTGCCGCCGGGGCTGGTGACGGAGGGAGCCGGGGGGCGGCGGTGCCCTCAGCCGAGGTGTGTTCCGGCCCGGGCGCACCGCGGAACTCGCCTGTTCCGCTCCTCGGCGCCCTTCCCGCGGGGGAAGGCGGTGGGCAGCCGGGCGAACCGGCAGCGGGGGAGGCGGGTGGACAAAAGCGGGCTGAGCGGAGCCTGCCCGGGCCCAGGCGGGGCTCTGGGTGCGCGGAGGCTCCGCGGCTGAGCCCTCCCAACCCTGTCCGGCCGCTCTGGCTCCATTGCCGCCTATTCCTGCCTGGGGGTAGGGAGAGAGTAAATAAAATTTACTTCTCTGATCAAAAAGTATTTTAACATGACACCTTTTTTCCTCATACGTGCGTGCTTACTTGTTAGTGACCCTCTATTTCGGCCTAAAGTGAGTTAGCTTGCCTCTGAAATAGCTTTGGTACTGTGTTTGCAAAAAAATAAGATAAAAGCCTTCTGCTATCCAAGCACAGCTTGAGTCTATTCTGTTTATCGAAATGTTTTATAAGACACGGCACAGGAAGAACACAATAATCAAAATACAGGTGTTCCATAAGTAATATCTCGTTCTTAATGTGTATCGAGTAGAGCTGAGCTGAGAGAGCTGAATGCTTGCCTCCTGTGCTTCGCTTTCGCGTTTTCAGACAGTTCCAGCATCCTGAAACTGGAATACTTCATGGGAGGATAACAATTTGAGAGTGAAACTGATCACTAGAGTTAATGTGTAAGCTGTTTGCTGGCCGGCTGCAAGTAGAGATCGTTTGAAGGAGGTTTAAATACACAGTAGTGTTCTTTGTGGTTTAGATGCAGATTCCTTGTGAGGAAAAGAGAAGGAGTAACTGTTTTGCTTCTGCGCTTTGGGGATGTGAATCACAAATTGATGTTTTCTGGAAGAAAGTGACTTAGTGAGAGTGAGTTCATGCACTTGTGAATGAATGCATGGCTCTGGAGCTGAGAATGGGAGAACTGAATTCTAAAGCTTACAAATTGTTTAGAACTGAAGGTCAGATGAAGAGCTGCTTGTTTTGGTAGCGTGTCAGAGAAGGTAAAATGGTAATGCTGAGTGTCTGAATTTACTGTGTAAGGTTGGAAATCATTCATGTTTTATTCAGCCACGCTAAGGAGCCTTGACTTTAGATTGGGAAGAAAATACAATGAGAAATACAAGAATGTCACATGCTCTCCTGGGAGGACATAAGGAAACTGGAACAGTTTAGAACCTTTTCTATCAGCCTGTGCAGCCCATAGCATATATGAAAACTGTTGACTTTCTATTGTTTAGCTGCTTCTCTTTAAGGTTAGATTTGCTGATTTTTTGTAAGAGTATGTTGCAATGCTGAAGTCAGATTTTTGTCTGCATTACAATAGAACAATGAAAAAATGAAGCTTTTTTTTTTTGCCTGCAACTGGGCAGTAATACAGAATAAATGGATGGTCAACAGCTTGTAGGTCATGGGTCTAATTTTCAGTGAAGAGGCTCTAAATAGTGAAAAGCCAATAAAGCAGGAGTGAAATGCACTTCACTCCGCCAGGAAATGGTGTGACAGAAGTAGTTGAAAAAGTGCTTTTTGTTTTTTTTAGTTTTGTGGGCCTGTTTGTCTTTCACTTGCTCATGTGCCAGTGATTTGTGACAGGGCTGTCATTCTGTGTGTTGTCAACAAGGTATTGATCCTGTCTGGGACAGCTGAACTCCTGTTTTGTTTCTGTTAAACATTGACAACTGCATCTTGAAAGCTTTAGTCATCATTCTTGAAAGTTTCTGCCACCCCAAAATAATGCTTTCATAAAGGCCTGTGTAGAGACTCATGTCCCAGCCGCTGAAGGGTAGAGTTAAGGTATTGATGCAGGTGTAGTGTACATTACTGATATAATTGCTAGTAAAAAGTGACAGAAAAGTTGTTCTCTACAAGGGATGATCTAGTGGGACAACAGGAGACTTCCTACTGGAGAGATTAAACTGGAAAGCAAACGTGGACACTAGATAGACATCAGTGACAAATTGTTTTACATAGAGAATGTTGCTTCAAGAAGTGCTATTTTAATCTCTCAGGTGACTTGGGGCAGGATTATAATGCCTGCTGAAATGAGATTGCAGCTCCTTAGTTTTGGGGTTTTTTTTTGTTTTGCTGTTTTTTTTTTAAATGGCTATATCACATGTTAAACATCTTAATTCTCACAGAAAAGCACACCATTTCTTCCCTTTTTCTAATTTCAGAGAAGCACTGATTTTTAGAAATCTTGAGATTATTCAAATTCTTTTCTTATTTTTGTCTTTCAGACTCAAGATAATTTTTTGGCAAATACTTTGATGCTTTATGGGGAAAAAAGACTTTTTTTTAAAGTGTGTGTGTTTTCTTTCATCATATATGTTTATCAGTAAGGGATAGTGATTGCAAATGGAGTTTGATGCCTGCCGTTCTGTTTTTGGTTTTTTTTTTGTGAGAGGTATCTTGCTTCCCCCACCAAAATGTGACCAGAGATTTATTACATCTTACCAAGATGTAAATTCTGTTTGGATTGTAGTTGGCTGAATTACAAATAGCTGGGTTTTTTGTGATTAAATGTAGAAGTTACACTAGACTGAGTGTACTTGACTCTGCCATTGAAACCTTTTATGGAAGCAGGGAAAAAAAGTTTTTGTTGCTGACCTTGGTGTTATGCCTGGATGAGAACTGCAGTCAAGTAGAAAGGCCAAAATGGTAGTGAAAGAAGCAGAAATGATACACCCAATGGCCTTCTATTTAGAAAGTCTGCAAGGGGAGCGTGTGCTCACAGAGAGCAGAGCCTGACATGATGGGGTCTTGAGGGTTCTGTGTTTTGTGTGAATGGCTGTTTGGGGTTTTTTCAGGAGATTGAGTGTGTTGGTGTAGGGCTGGTTTGTTCTTAGGAAGTTTGAGCAATTCTTACATACTTTGCATTGGGATAGAATGGCCCACAAGGCTAGGTGGGACTGTTTAGACATGCTAGGGAGTAGGAGGATTTAGGAGCAGGTGTATGAACCTGTGTTATTTAGTAAAAGTGGTGGGGTGGTGGTGTGTGCTGTTAATGTGTGTCTGTAGTTATTTTGCCTTTTTAAACATTCAGTGTGTAATGTCTGTCGCTCAACACTAGGTTTGCTCTTGCTGTAAAATAGATTTCTGGAACTTATTACCAAAACCACTCGCATACTCACCTGCTACTGGGACGAGGGAAAGAATCAGAAAAGGAAAAGTGAGAAAACTCACTTGGTTGAGACAAAGCCAGTTTAATAGGTAAACCAAAATCCACACAAGCAAGGCAAAAGAAGGAATTCATTCACCACTTCCCATGGGCTGGCAGGTGTTCAGACTCCCCAGAAAAGCAGCGCTCCTTACTTGTAATGGTGACTTGGGAGGACAGACATCATCACTCTGAGCATTCTCCCTTCCTTCTTTCCCCCAGCTTTATATGCTGAGCATGCCAGCATAGGGTTTGGCATATCCCTTGAGTCAGCTGCTCCAGGTGTGTCCCCTCTCAATTCCTTGTGTACTTTCAGCCTTCTGCACTGGTGGGGTAGATGACAGAAAGGGCCTTAAGACTGCTCAGCAATAACGAAAGCATCCTTGCATTATCGATCCTGTTTTCAACGCAAATCCAAAATACAGCCCCATACCAGCTACTATGGAGAAAATTAACTCCATCCCAGCCAAAACCAGCACAGATTGTTATGGCAGTATGTGGTTTCTTATGTTTTCAGTTGTGTTTAACTCAAAAGGTTGAAAACTGTTCTCAAGAAGTTTGGATTTCTATGGGTTGGCTGATGGCTTAAAGTAAAACTCCATATATGTCTAGGAAGAAATGAACAGAAAGGGCCTTAAGACTGCTCAGCAATAACGAAAGCATCCTTGCATTATCAATCCTGTTTTCAACACAAATCCAAAATACAGCCCCATACCAGCTACTATGGAGAAAATTAACTCCATCCCAGCCAAAACCAGCACAGATTGTTATGGCAGTATGTGGTTTCTTATGTTTTCAGTTGTGTTTAACTCAAAAGGTTGAAAACTGTTCTCAAGAAGTTTGGATTTCTATGGGTTGGCTGATGGCTTAAAGTAAAACTCCATATATGTCTAGGAAGAAATGACAAATTCAGCTGCATTGAAACTTCCAGAACTTTTTCACGATGGGTTGTTTGGTGTAATATCAATTTCTGTTACATGTATATTAGAGGTGCTTTCAGAAGTTGCTTTATTTTGTTATAATCAAATGTTGAAATCACTGCAAAGGGTGACATATTTACTCTTTAAAGAAAGCTGTCTAGAAATTCAATTAAATTTGTTTTATATAATACGACCTTATGAAGATTTCTTTTGAATAATACTTAATTTACAAATCTGTTGGACTTTTCTTTGTGCTCAGTGATACTACACCTGCCAATTTCATGGTTTGATTTTTAAATACTGGTATATTGACCTTCATTTTAGCTTGCTTCTTCTTGTGTGTTTGCAATTTTTTTTCTCTTCAGTAATCTGAAGTCAGAATGAGTTGAAGGTTTTTTGTGTTTTTCTTTTTGATTTTTACTGTTTTCAGCTATTTTGATGTCTGTTTTCCATATTACCACTATTATTTACCGTAACATTTAATTTTAGCCAGTGCGTGGCATAGTTCGCTCTTCACTTTTAGCCATATGCTCTTTGCATCCAGATTTAGGCTGACATAAGATTTAAACTTTCTGAAACTTTACACCTGTGTTGGCCTCAGATTGGTCTCTGAGCAGTGATGTTATACGTGCACAGCCTTCCCCCTTCCCTTGCCCAAATCTGTCCAGAAGAGAGAGCAAAAAAAGTCTCATAGAATTATAGAGTACACTGAGTTGGAAGGGAGCACAAGAATTATTGGAGTCTAATTCCCTGCACAGCAACATCTCCAAGAATCACACCATGTGTCCAAGCTGTCCAAATGCTTCTTGAGCTTTGTCAGGCTG